GAGTAAGTAGAGGGGCTGATGGACCAAGAGCCTTTTGATCTCTGCCTAAAACTCAGTTTTTCTTTTTGAATGACCTCATGTGAGGAAAAAGCCAGTGCATATAGTGACCTGTGGTTCCAGTGCCATTGAACCCTGAACTGAGTTAAATTTCTTTCTCTGGTAATTTCAACCAAAGAAGACATTTGAAAATGAATAATTGGAATAATCGCTTTGGAATATGCATAACGGTTAGGGGTTTTGTTTTGTTTGAAACTATCTCTAGAGTGGTTATTGCAAGAATCGATCGTTTCTGGGGTGAACATGTGTTCTCCTTCAGCGAGTCACAGACCTTCTCTTTCATGATTTTTAGGCAACAATCTAGTGCTTTTAAGTTTTATCACAAAAGGTGGAAAACTGGAGGCTGGGTTCATTCCTTAAACACATTTGGTTTGACGCATCATGTTTTTAAATATTGAATCAGTTATTAATATTTCTAAATCATTGAAAAAATATTCACTGGGGCAGCGAGGTTGCTGCTGCTGAGACCGGGTGGGACCTTCTCTCTGGGCCCCGCCCTGTCCTTGCGCACCCCGAGCTTCGCTCCCTTGCAGCTGGAGGCCCTGCACTGGCCGGCAGTCACCATGTCTTGACGCTTTTGTTGTAGGGAATCGAGGACGTTCTCCTTCATGACTTTTTAGAAGATGTTTCTATTCAGTACCTGAAATCTGTCCGGCTATTTAGTAAGAAATTTAAGCTGTGGCTTCTTAATGCTTTGGAGGGTTTTCCACCCCTCTTACATGTCTCCAAGCTGAAAGGTAGGTGTCAATGAGAGAAATAAATCCTGCAGGAGTAGGTGAAGTAGCTGACTTTCACTCCAGCGCGCCCTTCAGCTTTTCCCCTGGCCCGCTCAGGCTTTCTGACTTTTCCTGGGATGCTGGTGACGAATTCCGGTGCTGATCTGTCCACACCCATGTTACTTATTGCCCCTCATGAGTAATGAGGGAGGACCTCTCCGTGCCTCCAGGCAGTCGTGCTCACTGGCTTGAGGCTGACCAGGGCTCTGGCTCCAGCACCTTTTCCACCTCTGTCTGCTCCATGCAGAGAATGTCACTTCCTCCTCAGAAGTTCTTCCTGTAGCCTTAATTTCCTCTCACCTCCAGGGCTCACACCTTTACAGTTTCACGCCTCACACCTGAGTTACGCTGTTTCCCTGTTGACTTTCTCTCTTTCTTTGTTTCTTTTTTTTTTTTGCCTGCTTCATCTTTTTATTTTTAAAATATAAAAAAATTGTTAGAGGGGCCGGCCCGGTGGCACACTGCTATAGTGCGCTGCTTGGGAGCGCGGCGGCACTCCCGCCGAGGGTTCAGATCCCACATACAGACC